CCAACCCCCCTTTTAAATAAAGGAACCTGGAGCATCCCGAGGCCTTGGCGAGGCCGGGGCCACCCTGGGCTGTGACGTGTGGGCCCCAGCCAATCACTGGAGTCTGAGGCCTGCGTCCCGGCTTGCGAGTGGGGTGATGTCTCAGCGCGGGCCCCACACCCGTGGCTTCCCCGGCTACAGTGCAGCAGAGCAAGCTGGCGGTCCCTGTTACCGCTTCTCTGGAGTGAAAAGGCCAGGAAAGCGCTTTCACGAATGCGATTTAAATGCAGGGACAGCCACAGAGTCGCAGATAACTTGTCCCTTGTGTGAGGCTAGCAGCGGAGGAGCTGAGAAAACCTAAGGGAACACCGCACTTTTCTATTTCAGAATCAACGCGCTGCCCTCCAATGGAGGCAAAGAAATGTTTCCCCAAATACACTTACTAGACACTGATCTGAGCGTCCATTTGGAAAGGAAAAGCTCCCCCCGCGCCCCTCCCCCAAGCATAAAGCTGAGTATTTCTTAGAAATAAGCCTCCTGAGATTGTCTTGACTAGTATTCAGCTTCACTTCGTAGTGCACAACCTAAAACGATCAGCTGCTAGTGTGGAGAGCAGAAGTACATTTTAAAACAAGAGTGCGTGGCCCAACAACCGCACCTGTTGAACGCTCCTTGGCTGCCGGGACTCGACAGGCATTGCTGGATTGCAGAAAATGCGTTGGAGAGAGCCCTCGCCCGCAGGAATTGAATGACTACCAGCAATGACACTTAAATAGCATTCATTCTACAAACATTCCATCAGCTTTTATTTTTAAAGTTTGTCTTCTGAACCAGGCACCGTGCTAGCCCTAGGGATATAAATGTGAATATGTGGCTCCTCCCTCAAAGGGCTACCAGATTGGGCAAGGGAAGCTCATGACATATGAACACACCCTTTACTCAATAGTATAGATGTGATTATGGAAAGTTTTCTCTTGCACATTTCTGGAATAGGAATTCTTTTTTAAAAAAATATGTTTTTACTGATTTTAGAGATAGAGGAAGGGAGACAGAGGGAGAGAGATAGAAACTTCGATGAGTGAGAAACATCAGTTGTCTGCCTCCTGCATGCCTCCTACTGGAGATGGAGACCGAACCCATGCCCTGACCTGGGATCGAACCAATGACCTCTTGGTTCAGGGGTTGATGTTCAATCACTGAGCCACACTGGCCAGGCTGGAATAGGAATTCTTTTCTCCTTGACTTACCTTAATAAATCAAACCTGCCTTCCTACAGTGAACTGAGGTATGTACCCTTGACCGGAATCTAACCCGAGACCCTTAGTCATTGGGCTAACACTATATCCACTGAGCCAAACCAGCCAGGGTGGGGCCTGGATTTTTGCTATCAAGGAATTTACAGACTGTAAACCATGCAGGATTCTAAGGCCACCAAGATCCCTGCCCTCCTGGTGTACACACCCTCCCAATTATTCAATTAAACACTAATTTATAATGTCAACAATAAAAAATAAATTAAAAACACACTAATCTAGATACTGCTCTGAGGGATTTTCCCCATTTAATTAAGATCTCAAATCAATTGACCTTAGGATAGGGAGATTGTCCTTGGTGGGCCTGGCCTAATCAGGTGAGCCCTTAAAAGGAATCGGGCTCTTCCTGGAGAGAGGTTCAAAGTATGAAGTAAATTCATGATCAAAAAATAGAAACCCCACTAATGGCTTTGGAGATGGAAGGGATCACCTGGCAAGGACTAGAGAGCAGTCTAGGGTCTGAGAGCTACAGCCAGCAAGGAAATGAGACTTCAGTTTTAACTACAAGGAAATGAATTCATTCAAAGACCTGGATGAGCTTCCAAGTGGATTTTCCATGGAGCCTCCAGACCAGAGCTCAGTCTGAATGACACCATGATTTCAGCCTGGGGAGACCCTGAGCAGAAAACTCAGTTATGTTGTGGCTGAGCCAGAACTTCTGACTCACAGAACAGGGAGCTAAGAAGTGGGCGTTGTCTGAAATTGCTGCTTGTTTTGATTTGTCATGCAGCAGAAAACTAATACATAGGACAAAGGAGGAGGCCGGCACATGACTTGAAAAATTCAATATGCTATTGAACGGTTACAAAATGTTCCTTTCTCTCTCTTCCTCCTTCCTTCCTTCCTTCCTTCCTTCCTTCCTTCCTTCCTTCCTTCCTTCCTTCCTTCCTTCCTTCCTTCCTTCCTTCCTTCCTTCCTTCCTTCCTTCCTTCCTTCCTTCCTTCCTTCCTTCCTTCCTTCCTTCCTTCCTTCCTTCCTTCCTTCCTTCCTTCCTTCCTTCCTTCCTTCCTTCCTTCCTTCCTTCCTTCCTTCCTTCCTTCCTTCCTTCCTTCCTTCCTTCCTTCTTTCTTTCTTTCTTTCTTTCTTTCTTTCTTTCTTTCTTTCTTTCTTTCTTTCTTTCTTTCTTTCTTTTCTTTCTTTCATCTTTCTCTTAACATAAGGACCTCAAGATAGAGCAAGCTTCTTGCAATCTTACCTTGTTCTGTCATAAAGCATACACAGTAGTCTGGAAGTTCCAAAAATGAAGAGATGCCTTACATTTGAGACTAAAATACAGAAAATATATAGCTTTTCTTCTTTTTGGAAAATGGAGAGTTTTAAAAAATACTGTGTGCTTTAAAATCCATCTATCAAATTTGCTCCAAGGGATGGATGACCATTGAAAAATCAGACGGAGGGCCCAAACCAGTTTTAAGTGCAATAGAAAAAATAAACCCTTGCTGCTGGGTAGAGAAGCCGTATAGCCTCAGAGGCCAACCCCAAA